AGATAATTATATGCATTGGGATAATCGCCAGACACACGAACTTTTGCTTCAATTAGCCATCTTATATCATTTGGGATATTATTGAGCATAAGTACTCTCAATCTTTCAATACGAGCTCGATAAATTCTCTTTATGATATTAAGAGGGAATAGAATTTTTGGATTTTTAGCAGTGCTAAATCCATTGGTGAAATCGGACCATTGCTGAAGAAGATGGAAGGATTACCAAGTCAGTATATAGAGAAAGATGTGTATGAGATAAGTTTTCAGATATAATTTTTAGCATTAAATTATACCGAATGTCAGAATACACAACCAGTAAGCATTTAATGCAGTCAAGATCAGATGTGAGATGTCTGCAATAATTGAGATATTGTTGAGCCTAATTAAGACAGTTGAATTATTAGAGGTAAAATAATTTTACCTTAATGATGAAAACTGTGGTATGATCAGAAATGGTTAAGTTATTCCACAACAGTTCAGAAATTCACCGAAATTCTCGACTATAGTTAAGTCGGAGAAGTTGAAGTAAGAAAATATCAATAGTGATATTGAGTAAAAAGGTTTCTCGGTATAGAAGCAAGTTAAGTACAAAAAGATGCTAGAAAGTGACATTGACATTGAGATACAGTGCATGCAGATGTTCCGCACCCGAAGGGCCCCGGGTAGTGGGTAAATCGCATGAAATGTGTCGCATAGTCAAGTCCCGAGTCAAATAAGTATTCAATAGATCAATTATTATCTAAAGTTGTCCAGTGTGCATAATGTTTTACGTAACAAAGTACGTATGTATGTGTGCAATCCAAAGTATGTGCTTTTGCACAATGAGTTTCAGTTTCAGTTAGATTTAAATTACGAGGAGCAGCCGATAGAAGTTTTGGACCGAAAGGTTCATTGGCTAAGGAATCGAGATATTCTTCTCGTAACTATAAAATGGAACCGCCACGTAAAGTTAGATGCCACTGGGGAGTGAGAAGTTGATATTAGCACTCGTTTTCCAGAGTACGAGTTTTGATATATACATAGTTAGTATGTATCTCAGTTTTAGTATTTCCGAGGACGGAAATAGTTTTAAGGGGGGTAGGTTGTAATATCCTATTCAGTAATTAATAAAAGTAATTTTTCTAAGTTTGAACTAATTACTTTTATTAATAATGCCCGTTCCTAGTTCTGAGCCAGTTATTAAGTTATTCAGTTAAAAATTCGACTTTAAGTCGAAAGTATTCTCGGTTAAATTTTATTCAGTAATCGAGCCAGTTCAGTAATTAATTAATTCCGGTCTGTTTATTTTTATAAATGGATTTATAAGATGGGATTAATTAATATAAGATGACGAATAATCGAAATTGAATATATTTTGATTAATCGTTTAAGATAAGTAGTGAACTGAACCCAAGTATGTTCGGTCATGAGTTGAGTTTAATTGAGAAATAACCGAGCCTTAGCAAAATTTGAGGCAAGTTAAGGCTCGAAGTAAGGTTAAGTATCCATGAACATTTAAGTTATAAATGTTCAAAGAAGTGAGAAAAAATTTATTTAGACATTGTAGTATATTTAAATTATTTTAAGAGAAACCGAAATTTTTAGAATTTTCGGTTTTACGGAAATCGTTCGGTTTAAGTCTGAATGTGGTTCTGTAAATGTTAAAATATTCCAAGATCATTATATTAGCTCCTAAGAAGCAATATGTTCAGCAAATTGAAGGAAAAACCAAGAGTAAAAGATTTAAATTTTAGAATTTTTAATTTTACAGTAAACGTTCGTTTTAAGTCCGAATTGACTTCCGTAAATTTTATTATTCTTGTTTCTCTTATCATGTTCTAAGACCATATATGAGAATTATTTTTCATAAAAAGAGTTTTAAAAGTCATCCATTTTGAAAGAAAATGCATAAGAAATAAAAAGGATGAATTTAATTATTTTTATTATTTTTTTTTCTAAAGATTTTTATATGATGAATGGGGATATTTTTTCAATAATATATGGAATCAATTCCATCAGATTAAGCACGAAATTTTGGTCATCAATTGGTGAGAATGAGATGAGAAAATCACAACAAAGTTTTGATAAGTCTTTAAGTTAGCATTTTTTTCAACAATTGGTGAGAATTTTATTAAACTTTGGTGGACTAAGTTTTATCTACCAAAAGCTCATTCATGGCTATAAATAGAGGCAATTCAATCAGATTTTATATCAAGTATCTTTTCAAATCATCATAGTTTCATCAAAAAAATAGAAAGAGACAGAAAAATAAAAATAAAAATAGTAGAGTTTCAATTTTCGAAGAAATCAAGGAGCAACTTTAGATTTTCAAGCAAGAAGGAGGTAAGATGCTATTTTTTAACATGTTTAGTAGATGATATTAAGTGTTTAATAGTATTTTTATATGACCTAGATATTAAAGTTTTATATGAGTATAAGCATGCTAGAAGATAAGTTATTTACAGCTCATATATATGTCATATATGTTCAGTTATGATGAGATTTTTACCTAGCTAAGAAAAATCTGGAAATATATGCTTCCTATGGTTATTTCTTGTGTAAAAGAAGAGTACATAGGATCAAGAATCAAGTCATTTAGTTTAGTATAACTCAAGATATGAATTTTTAAAGTTTATCATGCAAGCTGAATTTTATGTACTTGTTTCCAGCAGCAACTTTAAACTTGAATAAGTCGAGATATATGCATGATAAAATTATGAAATTTTTATGACATGTCTAATTATGAGTTAAGAATATGACTGTTAATTTCATAATTTAATTATGAGAAATGAAGGAGTTAAGACAATAAGATGGCATATATGTAAAGATGAGTATATATGCAAGAATATTCATTATATGATCAAATTGTTAAAGTGAGATTTTTATGAATAATTCTCATATGAGTGATGAACAATTTGACAAAGTTTTTGTTTAATATGTTGAGTTTACAATTTTATAAAGATTGTTTTAAATCTCAAATATTAAGTTCATAATTTAGTATTATGATTAAAAGTTGTATTGTATGAGTATTAAGTTGAAATATTTAGTACCATCCAAGTTAAGATGAGTTCATTATTTATAAATCATGAATATGATGTTGGTAAAAGTTAAGCATGTTTTCAGTTTAAGTACTCAATCAAGTATAATGTGAAATTTAGTTATTTTCACACTAGAGTTATTTAAGTGACATGCGAGTATAAGCCAATATCTCTGATTTTGAAGAAATGATTTATAATAGACCTTGAGTAAAAGTTCAAGAAAAGTTATGTTAAGTATTAACTTGAGCAATAGCATGTCTATTGAATTTCTATAAGATTTGGATAAGTTAAGAATCCTAGTATCTAATTGAATATACGAGCATAGTACTTAGTATATTTGTTTATATTTTTATGTAACTTGCAGATACAGTTACCCAGTACAACACTTACCATTTTTGAAAAGTTTACAAACACAAAAGGTGGGGACCCGGAGTGGGTATCACATTGAGTACGATATTGATGTCATATGGGATGGGGAGACCATCAGTTGTCTCAGAGTATATCCTAAAGTTCTAATTTATACGCTTGGGGTGAGGAGGCATTCAGTTGTCTCAGAGTATATCCTAAGTTCTGATGGAGGTCGTTTGAGTTGCCTTGACAAATATCCATCAGAGTGTGCACACGTATCCAATCAGATATCGGAAGAGAAAGAGAAAAGTTTAAGTTTCAGTACCAGAACAAATTTCTGGTTACCGATCAGATATTGCTTTATGATTATCTTTATTTAGTACTCATCCCCATAAGTTTATTTTCAGGTAACAGGTCGAAGAGGAGGTGTGAGTGGAGCAGTGTTGGTGTGGATCATGGACTCAGATTATGACAAGCTTTTATATGGACATTTATAACAGTTTGTATAATTAACCACGTTTGTAAGTATTTCAGCTATGCAAATTAAGATTTGACTTTGCATTTTAATAAATTTTAGATTTCCAGTTTTTACCATTCAGAAGTATGAATATGGTAAAGTTAAATGCAAGTTATATAAATAATTTTTTTTTTTTTTTTTATGTCTAAAGAAGTATTAGACAAAGTTTAAAGATAAATGGATTTTCAAGAAGATGAGTTTAGTAGCATCCCGAGTTAGTCGCAAAAGATTTCGAAAGAGTTATAAGTATTTTTGAAGTAAAAGTTGCGAAAAAGTTACCCTGATGAGCGGGGTCTTACAGATTGGTTCTTGTATGTGAGTACATGCCTTTCGAGTATAAGGCGATAGGACTCATGGAAGAGGAATCGAGTTCCTGAGAGTGATGCAGGACCTCGTGATTGAAAATTCCCGTTCGAGTCTGGCGTTCCTTTTAGATGTGTGTTCTTTTGCATTTCCGAGGACGGAAATGTTTTAAGGAGGATAGATTGTAAATCCCCGTTGGATTATGGAATTTTTGGGAATTATTTATTATTATTATTATTATTCAATTTTATTTGTTGTTATTATTATTTGTTGAATGCTAGATATTATTAAATGTCTAAAATGATTTATTTGTCAATTTGCAATTAAATGTCTAATTGTCTAAATGATATTTATTTGCCAAGTTGTAATTAAATGCTTAAATGACTAAGTGTTATTATTTAATTTAAAATGTGTGTATTATTATTAATATTATTATTTAATATTTTATTTGTGTGTATTATATATATAAATAAAATCCGGGTTATTTATTTTATCATGCGATTTAATTATCGAGCCCGAGAAATCCAAACCCGAACCAATAGGCGAACCGGCCCGTACACCCGAACCGCCTGCGACCCGACCCACTCCTTGGCTTGGTTGATAAGTCAAAGCCCTAGTGTATTTATGGGTATTCTCCCTTCTCTCAAAAATTAACGCTGCAACCCTCTGTTATCTCATCTCTCGCTCTCGTCAGAAAAGAAAAAGAGAATTTCGCCATCATCGATCCCCACCATCTTCCTTCTCGTCTTCCTCTCTCGCAAGTGAAAAACCAGTCGCCGCCTTGCTCATTGGCCGTCGGCCCTCGCAAGTAACCTGTCGCGAGACCAACGGCAAAGCCCTTTCCCTCCGTGCGTTGTTCTTCCACCGCGAGTTTTCCCTGTCCGCGCAAGTCACCGCCACGACCAACAGACTGCTCCTCCGGTGACCCACACAGCAGCAACGATAAGTGGCTACCCCTCCGTGCGCAGAAGCCCGTCGATCCCACCTTCGTGAGCATCGAAGATCCCTGCCACCACGCGCCAGCCCACCGATGGCTCACCACACCAGCGACCACCGCCGCGGCTTGCAACCAGTCGCCGGAGAGCCCATCTTCCTCGCGAGAACTCGATCATCCCGCCACCATCATCTCGTAGGCCATCCCTTGTTCACGACGAGCGCATCTCGTCAGCCCCATCTCGCCACCGCGGCAAGCCAGCAGCACCGCGACCTCCTCCCGCCGGCGAGTACGTGAGCTTGCGATTTTCGGGGACCAGTCACGATCCTCTCCCGTTCGCTGCGAATTCCTTCACGCAAAGTTCAGCGTCCCCGTCACCAAGCAGACGACCCCCGCGACCCTCTCCCGTCATCGTTATTTCGTGAACCTGTTTCTGGCGAGCTCACCCTCCGTCATGCAGCACTTCCGACCACCGCTGCTCCGCCCGACGTGCACTCAGGCTGCTGCGTTTGAGCCTTGTCCCTCTCCTCGAGCCACCGAGCTTCCCGTCAACCCTTCGTTCCATTTTCGTTCGATTCCCGAGAACGGTACAAGGCTCGAAACCCCGTCTCATTATGATTTCGTGATTTGTGATACTTTGATATATTATGTGTTGATCGTGTGAATTTAGAGCTAATTACGTGCCTTAGATAAGTATTGGTGAGAATTATAATATATATTCGCAAATTGGATATCAAAGTGATTGCTGTCACTTTGAATTATTGTCGAACTACATTTAACGTAGTATATTCCACGGAAATCCTGGAGTTATAGGTACTTGGAGTTGTCCTTAATTTGTTGGTTTTTGTTTGAGGTCGTTTCGAGTTGTATATAGGGAGTTACGATTTTTCTAAACAGAGCATGCTGCTGAACCGTAATAAATTCACCATAAATCGAGTTGTTGTCCGTTTTGGCTATATTTTTTATATGTTGTGCCTCTGAGTATGTGGAATGTGTGTGCCAAGCTCTTGATTTTATCTCTGTGTGTTCAAATGCTTAAAACGGTTTCTGGGCAGAAACTTGTAAAATTCATTAAAACTCGTACACTTTGAGTTTTTAGCTGAAACTTGGAGGAACATGTTATTTTGTGTTGTCTTATGCTGTGTAAAGATTTCAGACTGAAAGCCCTTCCCCGACAAACTAACAAACCCAACCAGCAGAGAACAATCGACACAAGATATAATCCAGGCCCGAGATAACACTACCGAAACTGCGCGGACGCCTATACAGTAGCCAAACCGAGCCCCAAATCAATCCCGCATCAATCCATCAACAACCGAGAGAAATCGACCTGCCCCCACACCAGCCCGCTCAAGCCCGACTAACACCACTAGCCGAGCTCGAGAAAACCAGATCCCCGCCTGCCTAACACCACTAGCCGAAGAGAGGAGGTTGAGAGTAAGCCGGTCCCTCTACCCCGAAAGCCACAACTGGAGTGCCGCAGCAACCGAAGTTCTACCTCGCCCGCAATCTTACACGCCTCCCTAAACCACTGCAGATCTCCGACTACTGGAGCCCAAAGCACCCCCGGAAACCCCACCTTGAGCAGCGAAGCCGACCGAGAATACCTCCAAATCACCGAACAGAAAAGATGCGAGGGCTGCCCACTCCTAATCGATGACCGCCAGCGACCAAGAAGAAGACACCAGACGCAGATCGAGGGTGCGACATCGCCCAACGCAGCCACGCCGGCGACCGAAGATGGACCAGCGATCGAAGGGAAGCCACATCTCCCGGCACCTGCAGAGTCCATAGAGACACAAGACGTTAGGGTCGGGCCGAGCGGTCGAAGACGACCGCTAGCAAGAGCATTGCCGTCGCCGGGGAAGGCGATTCAACCGGAAATTAAGTGCAAGCGGCGGAAAATTTTTGTGCGACGGGAATTGGGGGTAGGGTTTGAGTTTTTGTTATTCAAATGCTTAAATCGGTTTCTGGGCAGAAACTTGTAAAATTCATTAAACATCGTACACTTAGAGATTTAAGCTCAAACTTGGAGGAACATGTTATTTTATGTTGTTTTATATTGTGTAAAAATTTCAGACTGAAATTCGAAGTGTAGCTATGCGAATCATTAAATGTCAACTTTGGCGCTGTTTTTTCTTAAATTATTTAAAAATGCTCTCGGATGAATTTAGGACTGAAACTTGGTGAGTTTATGTGTTTTTGTATGCTTTATAGTTTGGTAAAGTTTTAGGTTTATTTTTGGATCCTAACTTCAAATTCTGAATTTAGTTTATTTTGGAGTCTTAATGCTCGATTATCTGTTGTTTAGGTTCGGATTGGATTTTATTAATGTTGGCATGATTTATGTGAAATATCTGAGGTATTTGAGTTGTGTCCAGGTCTGGTAGTCACTCCATAGTACCTAACTCGGTCAAGGAATACACGAGTCACTTAGTCGATATGATTTCGGATAAGTATATGTGCCTTGTGTGGTGTTTTGTATTGAATAGTCAGTGATAGGCTATTATAAATTGTTGTAGGTTCTTCGAGCTGAACTTGTGCCATAATTCCTTCAACTCTGCGTTTGGCTATACCACTTGCTATATCCAGGTGGGTTTTATTTGAAATTGCTATGCCTTAATTAATTGTTATTGTTGTGGTATGATCAACGTATGCGTGTCAACCATGTAGCCTTCGATGTTGGCTATATTCGCCGTCGAACGGTTATCCCCGTAGCTATAGAACGTACCCGATGGGTAATCTCCTTTATTTATGTAAAGTCAGGGCGCGAGCCTTGGCAGGTGATCCTCGATGTAAGTCTGAAGGCTAGGTTCCGGGCATTCGCGGTGGATTTACTCCTACTGGCGGGGCATCGATTGTAAGACCCGAGGGGCATTCGATATGTGTATCAGCAGTGGTCTATTGATATAGATGTGTACATGAGGGATGACTCTAGGATAGGAGATGAGATATTAATTGATTTTTGTTCATACTGCGACCATACCTGCTTTATTTTATGAATTTGAATATTAATTATTGCATAACGGTGAGCACCTCGATTTTCCAATTGTGCTTATCCCCACATGCTCTTCGTGGATGCAAGTTAGTAATTGCGGGCACGACAGAGGGAGGTGAGTGGTGGTCATGTTACTGATTACTTCTGCTGTTTAAACTGCTTAGTATCATTTATGCATTTCTAATTTACGTTGGGTACGGGATTATTGATAGGGAGTGTACTCCCTAGTATTTATGAATTTGACGAACCCAGTTTTGGGAGTGTATGTTATTTATGAACCCAGTTTGGGTGCTGGCATGATTATTGAACCCGTTTGGGAGTTGCATTTATGATATTGTTGAAATTGTTTTTGGAAATGAGTAGCGCCTCAAGTGTTTTGAAATAAATTTTGAAAAATTTATTCTGAATTTCGGCAAATAAAAAAGTGGGGCGTTACAGTTTGGTATCAGAGCCAGTCTGCGTTTCTGTGGACTGGTATGTACGAATTATGTGAATTCTGAGAAATAACTGAATACTATGATATAGTTATGACCACTCGCTTTCGTCGTGCAGCGCCAACTCAGGTATGAATACTTGAGTAAATTCTGAATTACTTATGTGAAATATTATGATATTATGATATGTAAACCGGGCTTAGGAATTTATCCTCCTACTTTTTAAACGTTCTGGAACTATAGATGAGTGGCGAACCTTAGTGGTATGAACTTGAACTCTAGCGATATAGAGTTAGGTTCTACCTTGAGGTTTTGTTTGTTTAGAAATTTTGTCTAGTGTTATCGAGCTGAGTTCTGCGTATAACAGTCCTGCCGATGTATTTTAGTGTCTTCGGAAAAGGACCATTCGCGAGCCATCTCGAAAGGAGAAGGCTTAAACGAAGGGAGCAGACAACCGAAGAAGTCCCAAGTGTGGGATATTCGTAGGTCAGTAACCATCGTTATTAAGACCATCAGATGTGTAGTTGACCCTCAGTCGAGTGCGAGCTGGAGTAGAGTCTGAGTGCCTTGTGCATACTTAATGTCCGACCCCGAGGAGTGTTGGGGAAACTTAATGCGTAACACTGTCGCGACTCTCGAGAGTGGCTAGGCCTCGAGAAAAACGATAGTGACGTATTCTTTTGCGAAAACTCTCACCGAAGGAATCCGACCTTATTCTTAAGGCGGAGAGACCGAGCTGGCACCGCGTGTATATTTTATTCCATAATTTTGAGTGACATTTCCTGTCTTGAAGTAGACGTAAAAAATTCTTTTTCCGTATTTTGCGCAGTGAGCAATTTCCTAGCAACACCGGGACTTACCAGGAACAGCTTGAACCGATGATGAAAACAGTGAATCGTGGACTCGTGAAAGTGAAGCAGTCGTGCTTCCTTTCTTAAATTCTTGTCTTCTTGTATCCTCTTGCAAACCTTTTTCCCATTCACATGGCAAACAATTTTGAAGTGTGATGGAGGCTTCTTTTTATTATTCAATTCTCGTATTTTGAGGATTTCGCTTGATCTTCCCTTACTTTTGATTCGCTGTGTGAACTATTTTAAGCTTCCAAATTTTAAAATTTGTGTCTCTTGAAGTTTAGCTAATTTTGGTTTATCTTATGTTGAGAATTGACTTTGTTTTGAAAAAATTGATTTCAAGTGAGATTAAGCATCTCTTTGTTTCTGCTTATCTTTATTCTCTTGCGAAGTATGAAAGTTTCGTTCGAATGCCATCACTAAAATATCACGAAGACTCGAGGGAAAAAAATTTTTTATCGCCACTTTTGTGAATAACCTAACCTCGAGGGGGACAATAATTGTTTACGCACGGCATCGAGATAAACGCATAGAAACTGAAGCCAACACAATTCGGTTCGATAAGAGGATAGTCGAGTCTGGAGCAAGCACATCGTGTAGTGCAGTACCATTATTATTCTAAATTTTGTTCATCGTAAAATTTTTGTTCTTTTCCTCCTTTCGGAATCCCGGGAGGAACTTCGCGTTCAAATTCCAAAGTGTGAAGATTGGGAAGTGAATTGCGGTCGTTTAGGACTGCTGACACGATTAGCTACCCGAGGAAGAGCTGACGTGTCGGCT